CTGGCTGAGTAGTCTTGGGCAGGTTATTCAAGTAAGTCTGAGGCCTCAGCTTCTTTTCTGTACAATGAAAATAACAATACTTAGCTCATAGAGTTTTGATAATAAATAAAGAAGATGACGTGCCTGGCCATTTCTAATCATCCGCCCACCACCGTTAGATACAGCCAAGTCACAATGGCATTTTCAAGCCTAGGAGGAAAGCCATCTAGCATCCTGCTAAGCCACCATTTAGCATGAGTTATTGCTGCATTTTCTTCTTAGAATTTAATCTGAGTTTTTTGTTGCTAATGTGTGAAAATATTTGGCATTCGTTCCTGTAAATGAGGAAGTCGAGGTAAACTGAGGTCAAAGCCAAATCTTGGACCCGAATCAAACCACCCGAAAACAATACTGTAGAAAATTAAACTGGGTTACAGAAAGACCAGTGTTATGCAGCGAGAGCTCCAATCGTCCTAGCAACCTTTTAACCAAACACTGGTGCAGATTTGTTGGCATATACGACACTGAGAACATCTGGCCTTTCTATTATCCTCTCGCAAGCAAAAAATGATGTGTAAACTGATCTGTAGGCCAATTATATGGTCTAAGTGTTACTGTGTTTGTGTTGGCGCCTCTGGCTCCAGGTTTTAAGAACTTAATTTGTAGCCACACCTCTCTTATGAAGACCGTGGGGCTTACTGTAAATTACCCCAGGGATTTGTTTATGCTGAGTCCATACCTTTTTTCAGGAAGATAAGTACATGTAAATACATCACCGATCAACTGTGTGCGCAATGCACTGTGGGAGGTCCTGTGAGTTACAGGAGTTACGTGGCAAAGGGAGGAGGGAGAGGGGGCCGTAAGGGAGCCGGTTCCGGGGGCTGCTTTGGTCACATCCAACGCTACATTTTTTCCTATTTGCCAATTTTATTATAGAAGCCAGGCGTGGAGCGTAGAAGCTCTAGTCTGTAGCTCACTTAGAAGGTGCTAAACTATTAATAGGAGTCCTAACACCTGATGCTACCTCCAACTGGCCTTTTCACCATAGCAGGGTCATTGTGTCTGATCATCCGACAGCGTTAGACTCTGCTCATTTATCAAACACGATATGCCAGGCACAGTCCCAATCCCTTCCCAGCACTGCTTAGGGGAATCCTCATAATGCCTATAAGTGCCAGGTGCTGTGATTACCCCACCCACGTCACGCTGTGGGGGGTGAGGCAGAGGCTGTGCACTTGTCCCCTCCCCTCTGGCTGCTTAACAAGAGCTCTGCGCTTTTGCGCTCAGCTCTAATGGACTGGAGGTCTGTAGTGAACCACGCCCATGGCTCTGGAACAGGTGACCCGGGGGTGCACCCCTGGGGTGTTACTGCCCATAGGAAGGGGGAGCTCCTTGCCTCTCCCCCACCCTGCCCTGCCCCCATGCCTCTGCTGCTCTGGACAAGACGCCTGGTGGCAGCTGGAGGAGCCGACCTAGGGAGGTCTTCCTCCCCACCTCACTCCCACCTCCAGCCCTCTTTCATCCCATCTTCAACTGAAAGATGTGAGAGATCATCTTTTGCTCCCTGGATCCTTTCAGACCTTTTTGAAAACATTTGGGAGTCCTGATACGGGTTATAAACAGACGTATTGGTAGAAGAAGGCTGAGAGCTCCTGATTTTGTCTCTGTATAAAACAGCCTCTGGGTAAGAATAGTAGAGTCACAACTGCAGGAAAAAAGTAAATGGGCTTCTGCATTAATTAGCCTCCTCTCTTGCCCCAGCCCTGTGGCCAGTTCTAGCAGAGATCTGAAGCCAGACAGGGACTTGACCCCTGGCACCAGCAGCTCATTCCCCAGGATCGGAATTTTCCTTCACCTTTAAAGGAGCCGAGTCTCTTGGGCCTCCTGGTCTGACTTAGCATGTCTAGGAAGGAAGGGCAGCATAGATAGCACAGTAAATCCCAACTCTGAGTTGTCCTCACAGGAATTCATCACAGATGGCAATCATTAGGGCCCTCACATCTTAAAGGGAAGAGCTTTATCCAGAATCATAAATAAACTGTAACCAAGGCTTAGATTTATAAAGTTATAAAAGAGGGCTGCTTGGACAACTGGGAATGGACGGTACTGGGTTACAAAATCAACGTAATGCCCGAAAGCCTGGACATGAGCTGGGAGTTCTGGAGGGTTCTGCAGCCAGAAGGTGGTAACTTGTTTCTGTAGTCAGTGGACCCCCAGTCAGAACCTGACAAGGTTAGTCCCTGGTTTAATAGCACGAAATGCGAGCTCAGAGAAACTGGCCTGCTGGCCTCTAAACATGGCACTGTAACTCCTAAACCAACTGCAGTCCAGCCAAGCTTGGCCCTTCCTTACCAAGATTCTCTCTGGCTAATGCTGTGTCTTGTGAGTGAATTTTCAGTTTATTGCTAATGTTACCCAAGCCCCTACTTTGTCCCAAGTGGCTTCAGATGACTCTTTTGACAGAGTCCCTCCCATGCAGAGCACCCCATGAGGCTTTGGGTTGTGGAGAAGCAAAGTGAAAAACAAGGTCACAGCCTCCCAGAAGTTTCTCATCTGGTCAAGAAGACAAGGTATTTACACATAAAGCCATCACGGGATGCAGGCTGCAATGTGTGACATAGACTGTAACTGTTAGGGCGTGAGCCAGTGCACACAGGTTTTGAGGAAGATTTCTCCAGGCAAAGATTAGGATAGAAAGAAGTTTATTTACTTTTTCCTGGGCGGAAAAAGGACCAGCACAAAGGTTAAAAAGGAAGGATGTGCTGACCTCAAAAACCAGCTATTCAGACTTTGTAAAGGGGGAGGTTGTAAAATAGCAGGGTACAGTTGAGCAACTGCTATATCCTCTCCTTTCTTTCTTCTCCACGGCAGGATGATAACAGAAACGGCAGCAGGATGACGAAGTCTAAGATTTGGTCCCGCGCCTTTCCTTGGAGATGGGATTATGGCAGGATATGTGACTCTGTCCTCGAGATATGTCTGAGGCCTGAGGCTCATGCCCCTGCTATTCACCAGGGAACTTTTAAGGCTAAAAAGCAGATTCTCGAAAGCAATCTTAAGAGAAAAATTTACATCTCTTATCCACCTGCCCAGCTTTTTTCAGGTGTTGTGCCAAACAGAACTCCCACGGGCTGCATGTTAGTGAGAGAACTCATAGGATTGATCTTTAACTGTTATTGGGGAAATTGTGGGATTAGGTATTTTCCTGTTATTTTTGCAAGGCCGCCCTTTCAGTAACTAGAGAAGAACTCAAGGAAGCAAAGGGAAGTGGAGGCTGGAGTCATCCGGGGAGAATGTGTGGAGAAAAGGGACTAGATTTCAGACTTGAAGGCTGAGTGGTGCTGGGCACAGGTGAGGGAAGGTTTCTGGGCCCCACTGGCTCCCACAAGCGTGTGTCCCTGCTGTGACTCATCCTGAACCAGGTCTCAACTAACACACCCTTGTATTTCCCTCTTGTCCTGGAGCATCCTTGAATTCCACATCTCACCCTCTGCATTCCCCTTCAGGCCCTTCCCTAACAGGCCTGGAAGGGGAAATTCTGGGCTCTCTGGACACATCCTGTGCAGGCATAGGCATCCTTCCTGCAGCACGAAGCCAGGGACAGCCACATGCCCCAGCCCTAAGCCCAGTGTAGCACTGTGTCCATAATTGGATCAAAATGAGCAGAAAGAGATGGGAGGGGGCAGCCCCAGAGAGGTGTGACCTTGCCCCAGCGTTCATGGAGAGGGGTTCTGCAGGTATCCGGGACACGCAAGACGGAGGACCCAAGCACTGGGCCCGGGCAAGGAGGGGAGGATCTTACGGGCAAAGTGAAGGGGGTGTCACCCCAAGAAGGGGAACATGGTGAGCAGGAGAGCCCCATTTCACTCCCTTGCAGAGCCAAGTGTTGCATGGAGGCTCCTGAGTGTGGGCTGAGACAAGGGGTATCTGTTGGGGGGCAGGCAGCGTGCGCCTATGGCTCTGGAGAGCAGAGAGGAGGCGCCACCTGGGAGGCAGGGCTCCTTGGGGCTGGCTTCAGACTCTGACTCTCAAGAGGCTGCTGTAGGGCTTCCAGGTGTCTGCTCTGCATGGCCCATTCGAGTCCCTGGGAAGACTGGGGAAAAACAGAATGCAGGGTACATGCCTCCCTGGCAAAAAAGATCTGCACGTTGTATTTCTTAAGAACCTAAAAGTGCCTGGACAGGTACAGCAGCATCTAGGAGGGAATCCCATAACCAGAACGAGGGCAGGATAAACTGTTTATTACTTACTAGTGCTTCTGGGAAGGCAGGGTAGCTGTACTGACTCAAGGCTTTTTGGCATTGGTAAAAATAGCTGTCTGCCTCCCTGACTACTCAGCACCGGCAGCTGACGGGGGGACAGGGGCTGAGGGGAAGCGAATCACCAGGGCCTCTGAGGACCACCCTGCTTTGCCACATTCGTGACAACTCACATCACAGATTTTGAGTGACAATATAGGAAAATCACATGTTGTTAACATTTTGCCGTTTCCAGGAGGATAATTGAAATGAATCGAAATAAGTTACTTTGGTTTATAAAATGTGAGTATCTTTCTTCAGAAAGCAATGGAGTGGAGCAGAAAGAATAGTTCTGGAGTCTATTTTGAGTTAGAATTACCAACCCCACCTCTCTCAAGTGGTCTGGCCTTGGGAAAGTGACTTAGCTTTTCTGAGCCTCGATTTCCTCATCTGTGAAATGGAACACTTGATAATAATACCTGGCTGGCAAGGCTGTTGAGGAGGTTAAATTCTATGACCTTTGTACACAGCTTGACCCCATGTGTCCAATAAGGTCAGTCCCTTTCCCCTCTTCCCCCCTGAGAGTGTTAGAGACTCCAGGAAAAAATGAATTTTAACAAATTATTTTGCAACACAGTCAGCCTAGGACAAGGAATCGGGAGCTAATTTATTGTCAAGTTCTGCTATATGTCAGTGGAGCATCATCACCAACGGGTGTCTGTTTTCAAGCCTCCCACCCCAAGGCCACCTACTCACGTTGGCTTCTCTCCGATTCTCTCCTAGGGGCGCTGTATCAACTTCACCAGAGTCAAGAACAACCAGCCGGCCAAGTATCCCCTCAACAACGCCTACCACACCACCTCACCGCCTCCTGCCCCCATCTAC